AAGGCATGGTCCCCAATCCTCCATCATGTATGAGTCAGGCCAGGTCCATTAATGCAGCCCTCTGAATCGAATGTTTCCCTGTGAACTCACATGGCCATGCCCTTATCCACCATATTGAAAAGCATGCTTTAGAATCCTCTTTCCACTGGACTTGAACAATTGCTGTAGTCTCTTCAAGTTTTGAATATCGGTAACTTACTAGGTGAACTATTAAGTCAACCCCAAACACAGGGAAATACAGTTTTCATTGGAATGCGTTGGCATCAAGAAAATGTGTTTTTTGAAAATATTTTTTCCTTAAATAAAAATTGGCAATTTATCCCAAAATTATTGCAAGAACTTTAGAGAAAAATAGGACTTCAGAATGATTAAATGTCCACTTGGAATGAATTCTGTTGCCCAAAGTTGGGAAGAAGAGCTGACATGAATCTTACCAGGTAGAGGTAGACGGGAGTAGAAGAAATTACAACCAGCTGGAAAAAGACTTAATCTGAGTGAGGAATATGAACTGGCTGCAGAAGGCTAAGAAAGCATAGAGCCTTCACTGCCTGTCAAGCAGGATGAAGAGGAAAGGACAACAGTAGTAAATAGACTAGTGTGGTAGTTACATAATCTGTTGTCAATTTGAGAGTTAAGAGTGAAGGGGTGGAGTTTAGCTTGTCAATTAGATCTCAGCTTGATGACCGCATTTGGAGGTGCTAAGGAGAATCATAGCTTGCTGGAGGTGGGACACATGATCACGCCCTACAAGACATTCCAGCTGAGAAGACACATGGAACTATGCTAGAGCCTTGGAGCTGAAGGAACCATGTGGAGAACCCTGCCAGCACTAAGATGCTTCCACCGCCACCGGATCCACAAGACATCCACCCACTGGCCTGTGATCTTCCTGTACTTGAAGTCATTCTGAAGAGGAATTTTTAGATTAGTATTGGACATATGGGCTAATATCAGACTTATAGACTTGATCTGGACTGGGCTGGGATGTTTTCCCAATATTCAGTTACTCTTGTATGTTAAGCTCTTTCTTATACACATATGAGTGTCTATGAATTTGTTTCTCTAGTCTACTCAGACTAACACAACAAGATATCAAACAGGAAGCTCGACCACTGCAAAACTTGTTGAAAGCAAGAGGTTACTGAACCACTAAGGAGGCCCTGCAGCTAGAATGCTGACACAGTGCAACTTTCAGGCTGCTAAACCCCCAAACCCATTGCTATTGGGTCAATTCCAAGTCCCAGCAACCTTGTAGGACAGATCAGAACTGGCTCATAGGGTTTTCGGGGCTATAAATCTGTACAGAAGCAGACTGTCACAACTTTGTCCCACAGAGCCACTGGCCAGTTCCAACAGCTGACTTTTGGGTTCACAACCTAATGCGTAGCCAAGAAGTACCACCATGGCTCTTCTCAAGTTGCTAGAAACACCAAATTCTCAAAAACCAACATACTCTTCAAAAAATGCCATGTAGCATAATCACATCTTAGTTTAGCCAGCTTTCTTTTAAATAAATGCACACATACGTACTTAACACATTAACTTTGTTCGTAAATGCATACATGACCAAATTTCCCTTTTTTTCTGTTTGTTCGCTTGTCCTTGTGTGAATTTTCTTTTACTATGATTTAAAATTAAGCCAGAGAGTTTTAACATCAAATTATTCTCCTTGACAGAGTTGGGATAATGGAATGATTTGTTAATTGAGTGTTTCTTGTGTCTAATCATTTACTTGCTTTATTTCCTTTAATCCTCCCCCCTCTTGCCGTCCACTGTACCACCTGGACCTCTGGAGGCCTGTCAGTTTTAGGTGGGTGGTTGGGGGCGGGGGGTGTACATGGAACATATTGCACAAAGGAGTCACTATTCTGGCCTCTCAGCGTGAAGGATTGCTCCTTCTGGTGGAATCGCCTTTCTGACTGCTGAGCCTCTGATCACTCAACAATTGTGTATTGAACTCCGACGTCATGCTCAGCAAGGCCTGCCAGGCCTTAAAGCATGGCACTTGGATTCAGAGGGGTGTGTGTAAAGCTCTTGTATCAATCAGAGGCCTTGACCCCATCCTGAAGGGTGAAGGGCATTTAGCTGGCTGAGGGAGAAGAGCAGGGTTATTGGAAGACAGAACAGTACCGGCTGGAAGCCAGGAAGGGGACAAGAGAAGGTACTGGGATGGGTCAGGGAAATCAAGGAAAATAAACTTAGAAAACATGTATAGACTTTCATCTACAGCCAGAAGGAAATCTCCTCTTAAAATGTCATGTAAGATTCCGTCAGTCAGTACAGGCAGTCTCCATAATCTGGTGTCATTCCTATAATCAAAGAGTTTGCTGCCTTTTTAATATCTGTGTAGTATGCGTGTGGCTTGGTCATCTTAGTTTCCTTAGCTACATATATTTTATCCTTCCTTTGACATTTGGGTAGGAAGTTCTATCACCAAGAATAGAGACAGAACCATCAACATGCTGGCATTGACCATTGGGGCTCCATAGACACAGGCTCAGCCGCCCAAACGCCTGAATGTCTTATACATTTTGGACAATATTTATATCATATTACAAAAATATCATTTCAAATCATATGATTAAAATTATATAACACATATCATTAATTGTTGATTAGTATAATTTATGTTAATGAATTTAATCATGGAGACTATTCATTTTCATGGTAAGTACAAATTGTAAGTTGTGCCTAAGAGCAGAATAAAATTACTAGTATAAGTCACCCTTTTCCACTCTTCTACCATTATTATCCTCAAGAGTGGGACAAGAAATGGCTACATCTAACTTTTTTAGGGTCTCTGAGATTTTTATTCCTCTCCAAAGTACCTAAGCCCACTTATTATTAAGTCCCGAAGTTGAACTTGACATTATTTTTATTTCTTTATTTGGTCAATGGAAATTGTTTCCTATTAGAAGTGTTTGCCTTTGTATAAGTCACTTTTGCCTGTGACAAGATGCGTTTATGTCTCTTTGCCTTAATTTCGGGGGGAAGCAGGAGTTATAAAGTGAGAACTTGCGGCTGGGAGAAGGTGAAAGAGACAGTTTGTGCAGGTCTCTGTTCTGTAACAAACATCTATTTCCTGAATCTATCTGTTCAGAAAGTCCTGTGTTGTTTCATCAGAGTCCATAGTGAAGCTTGTTTCATCTGGCTTTGATTTATACTGCTTTTTGTTTTCCTAGAAATAGTTGTCCTTCTTGGCTCAGGACATTTCTGATGTTTGAAGGAAAGGGCCTGGAGAAATGGATTAGCGGATCTGGTTGGGATTACTCACGTGTATTATTGTAACAACTTCCTCTTGAGATCAAATATCAGACAATATAATTCTATCTGGAAATAGGAGTCTAGATCATGGATTTTTAATCTTTTTGGAAAAATTTGACCTTCTGACAACTTCCTATTACTGTTAAAAATATTCTACAGCATGTTTTTTTATCTGTAACTGTAAATGCACTAGACTTTTATGACACTTGTTTTTATGAGCATTTTTTGACCCTCCCCACAAGTTGGAATTAACTACCTGACAACTGGTACTGCTGTTAGCACTCCTGAGATTATTGGAATTATTGCTGAATGCTAAGAATCTTTGGTTTACTTTATCCCAAGTATCATCATTCTAGGAGCCCTGGTCTCCAAATGGTTACACATTGGGCTGCTAATGGAGAGGTCAGCAGTTTGAAACCACCAGCTGCTTCATAGGAGAGACACAAGGTTTTCTGCTCCACAAACAGTTGCAGTCTCAGAAACCCACAGTTCTAGGCTGACCTATAAGTTACCATGAGTGAGAGTGGACTCGACGACTGTGAGTTTGCTTTGTTATCACCATGCTAACCTGCAATGTTCCTCCCTGAGAAGCTTGCCTTTGAAAGGCGAGCTCTGGTGCTGCGGTGGTTACGCCTTGGGCTGCAATCCACGTGGCTGCAGTTCGAAACCACCAGTCTCTCCTCAGAGAAAGATGGGGTTTTCTACTATCCTATCCAAGAAACTCACAGGGGCAGTTCTACCCTGTCCTATAGGGTCCCTCTGAATCAGTCCCTAGTGACTCCGTGGCACTGGGTTTGGTGATTTGTGGTTTTATGCAGCTGTGTGCTTTAATATGCTTGATCTGGACCCGCAGGTGACCATGACACGGCATCATTTCTTTATCCCTCCTCCCATGGAGTTCCCAAAATATCACAGGCAGCAGCAGTGTCCCAAGGTTCAGAGTATAACACGAACCATTACAGGATCTAGCTGTATGTCTGGTCCCATTTACCACCAGATGGCTCTATTGTATCATTAGGAAATGTACACCTGTGTGAAATTAGTACTTTTCATGAGCCAACATGAATAAAGCACAGCTCAACCTTTAAAATACATATGAATACAGTTCTGCCTTTACAGGATTAATTGGAAGCAACTGCAGCAGCCAGATCATTCACACACAGAAACAAAAGCACAAGAACCAGAGCTCATTCACAAAGGCTAGACCCAACCCAACTGCCTCGGAGTTAATTCCGTCACATGATAGCCCTATGTGTGTTTCCCACGGCTGCAGTCTGCACAGGAACAGGCAGCCTCATTTTCCTCCCACAGAGTGACTGCTGGGTTTGAAGTGGCTTGGTTAGCAGCCCAAGACTCGCCTGACAGCAACTCCAGGGTTCCTAGAGAGGCTGTAGACGGTCCCAATCCAGGGTTTTCATGTCAGTTTTCCCAATAGCCAAAGCATTGTCAGAAAGGGCTCTATTATCAGTGGGACCTGTGACTGGTTTTTCTAAGTCAGTTTGGCACACTTCAGCTGATAGCTGAGAAACAGGAATTTTAGGATGTTTTTGAGAGGCTAACGCTCCAGATCTGGTTTGAATGGTAGTAGCCATGCTCTGAGGAAGAAAGAGCCAATTCGAAAGCACCTGACATTATCTTTCAGGTGCCTTTGCTTTAATGTCACGTGTGATAAAGGGTGAAGCACAGAGGAAATGAAGCCTCCTCTGAGCTCGCGACCACCCTGCTCCTCAAGCGACATGGAGGTGGAGAACAGCACGCCAGCCTGTAGGTGACCTTCCCATTGGCAATAGGCAAGGTTGCTCCTGGCCCCCCTCCTCAAGAAAAGTTCTCTCTGCTTCCAGGATGAAATATGTGGCTTAGCCAAATTCCAAGAGGAGTAATTCGATTTTAACTTCCAGGGGGACCTGGTAGCATAGTAGGTTAAGCACTGGACTGCTAACCAAAAGGTGAGCAGTTTGAGCCCACCAGCTGCTCCTCAGGAAAAAGATAAGGCACTGGGTTCCAGAAAGATGAGTCGTCTTGGAGACCCTAGGGAGAAGCTCTGCTCTGTCCCTATCAGGTCCCTGTGAGTCGGAGTCCACTGGAAGGCAGTAGGGTCAAGCGCCTCGGTGTCATAAAGTAGCATGCAGCCCTCATAAATCAGTGCTCAGCGCTGACCTTCCTTTTACTGTCTAGTCTGAGTCAGTCCGTTTCTAGAATGCTTTGCTATTGCACGGCTACTGTAAGGAAAGAGAAGACTTTGTTTGAGTTTATTAGTCCTATCTTTAGTCCATACAGCTGTTTGAGAAAACTGTCCATGCAATAGAGTAATGCTTGGTTATTGTTTTAAAGAAAGGATCCCTGGGAGCTGGACAGATGTCATTGACTTTGGAGCAACTCAAGACCTTGGAAATTTGCCTGCAGGAGGCAGAAGAAAAGGCTAAAGCCTTATCTGAGCAGGTAAAACCTATCAGTTGGGCTGGGAATGCAGTTTCCAGTTGCCAGTACAGCAAGTATACATTTAAATACCTGCTACTTTGCCTCTGCCCCTGTTGCTGTCCATTCGCAAACAAGCATGGATGCATAGATGCACACATGCATGTACCTTTAAGACAATACATTTGTTTTAAATATAACAATAATTACTTGAGGTAGTTAGTTTATTGTGCCAACCTGTCTGATAAACACATGTGACATTAATTGAAGGGCAGAGGGATAAATGGCTCAGTGAGCCCCGCCTTTCTAGTTCTCGGGTCTCTTGCTTTCTGACGGTCAGACCAGGGTGCAGCTGCCTTAGCCAGTTCCCTTCTTTAGCTGGCAAGGCTCACTTCCTCCAAGACATCCCTGAGGAGAAGCCGCATGGACCTACCCCGATGCAGCCCTGGGTGCTGGAACAGCAGTGTGGAGACTCCTGCCAGCGCTGAGATGCTTACACATTCACTGACTTGGCTTTCCTCCTGCAGTCGGCATCATTGTGTGTGTTTTGTGAGATGGAAGAGGACTTTGTGGATTGATGTTGGACATATGGGTTAATGTTGGACTTGTGGGCATGGGCAGCACTGGGTTGGGATGTTTTCTTGATGTGCACTTAACCTTTATATAAAGGAGTTTCTGTGGATTTGTTTCTCTAAAGTACCCAGACTAACACATTACTTATATCAGGATATGAATCTTTTCAGCTTAAAAAATACTTTTCATCAGATGTTCATCCACTATGTCCAACACAGTTAGGCAATACCAACCAAACCAAACCAAACTCACTGCCATCGAGTCCATGCTGACCTGTAGCGACCTCCTGTGGATTTCTGAGACTGCACCTGCTTATGGTAGCAGAGAGCCCAGTCTGTCTCCCGCAGTGCTGCTGTTGGTTTCAGACCGCCAACCCTGGGGATCACAAACCCACTACAGCACCAGGGATCCCAGGCAATACAAGGAGGCTTCAAAATATAAGTGGAAACATGTGAACATAAAGATCATGGAATTTTTCCACAAATGTTTTGAAGCCCCCTTGTGTATTTTAAACAAGTGGTTTTTCTGAATAAGCAAAGTGTAGGTACTTTATAAACAGATAAGCCTAAAGTCAAGTAAAACCCAACAGAACAAAAAACCCCCAAAAACTTCACTTAAGAGATGTGAGAGACCAGAAACAGAGTCAATCACAAGCTGATCCAGGCCTTTACTGATCAGCCTGGATATATTATAGGTGTCTGGTGGCAGAGTGGTTATCCTTTGGGCTGCAAACCCCCTGGTCAGCAGTTTGAAACTGCACTGCTGGAAAGAGATGAGGCTTTCTACTCCTGTAGAACTCTTTACCCCTGTAAAGAGTTACAGACTCATAAACCCACAGGGGCAGTTCCACCTTGTCCTAGAGAGTCGCTATGAGTCAGCATTGACTTGCTCGCAGTGAATTCGGTTTGGATTTTGGAGTGTATACCATGGGACCCGGATCTTAAAGATGGACAGTTTGAACCTGCTGAGAGGCATTTTGGAATAAAGGACTGGCAATGTACTTTAAGTACCCTGAAATACACAGAGTCACCATGAGCCAGCAATTGGTTGGCTGGTAGATAATGGGTATCAGGCAAGTTCCGACCCAGCACTGGACCATCTCCCAACATGCTTACACTTTGAAACAGCACAGGGCATACTGGAAGTCTCATTGTAGTGGTTCTTTCCCCTGAGCACAAGGTCACCATTGCTCAGTCTTAGTGCCAGTCAGTGGAGGAAAAGGACAGCAGAGATCCTGAAGTATTATAAAACCAAGAAATCAAACTCACTGCCATGCAGGCTACTCTGCCTCACGACGGCCCTACAGGACAGGGCAGAAGTGCCCTGTGAGTCTGAGAGAGTAACTCTGCCCGGGAGGGGAAGCCCCACCTTCTCGGGAGGAGCGGCTGGTGTTTCAGGCTGCTGACCTTGCAGTGAGCAGCCCCGCAAACAACTGCCGCGCTCCCGGGTCTCCTGAAATAATAGAAGCACAGATTAATTTCTCATGTATTAAATTCTCATGTTATACCTTTTTATAACAATCTATTTTAGAACGCCTAGGCAAGAACAATTTAAAAGATATGAAATAATAGAGGTAATATCTCTGTGCAGTACAAGCTACATCAACATGTTATAAGAATTTTGGCAGAAACGAGAAGGAAGCTTGGTTTGTTTCAACTTACTGAAATGTATACACACACACACACACACACACACACACACTTTTTAATGTGTTTATTGCTAATTGGCTTAAATATGAGACTGATACAAGTGACCACCAGGGGACTTAAGCTTACTAATGAAAATGTGTTGTCCTGGGCCTAACCCCTTTGAGAAGAGTTTCAGTCTCCTTACTTACCAACTTTGTCTTTTTTCTAAAACACACTCAAATAGGCCCCGAACTCTGGCACATTTTAAATTGCAAAATTTAAAATTTCATCACTATTGATGAACCTGAGCAAGGTACCACTCCAAGCAAAAACACTAAGCATTTCACCACCTCAAAATTGGGGAAGATTTTGAATGACTTACCAATAGGGGGCGCTCCAGCGGGTAGTACTTTTCACCAAGAAGAGACTGTTGCTTTTGGAACTGACTGATTTTTAATGATTTGTCTGTCATCAGTAAAATTGAACTCGCTGAGATGAATACTCATCCCTTTTGTTTTTTTATAATAAAATGCATATACTTTTATCAAGCACAAATAGCTCCCAACTCACTGCCATCGAGTCAACTCTGATTCATAGAGACCGAATGCAAATATCAAGTAATATTTAAGATTCTTAGCCTGATATTACTGATGCAACACCAATGAGATACATGTACATTTTCCAAAGTTTAGCAAATGAAATCTATAAAATGAGAACTACATTTCACACAACCTTCCATGACTAAGAGGCTGCTTAGTTTGGGGGGTGGGAGGTGGGAGATGAGAGATTCTCACAGCTGGATAAAAGCGCCGGAAGACCTGAAGCAGAAAATGGGCATTTTGTGGTCTCTTTGTGTGTGTGTGTGACGGGTTAACCTCAAGGTCATCAGTTTGAAACCACCAGCACCCACAGTCTCAGTTGGTCCAAAAGAAAAAGTTCCATGCAGCAGGAGCAAGGGGAGGCTTTGCAATCCTGTAAAGACTGACAGTCTCAGAACCCCCAGGGGCCGTTCTCCTCTGTTCTGTAGGGTTGCTACGAGTCAGAATCAAATCAATGGCAGGGAGTTTTTGAGGTGTGTAATTCCAATACGAGTCACTTTATTTTAACTGTCTAAAATTCCTCAAGGAGTCCTGGTGGCATAATGTGTTATGTGTTGAGTTGTGAACTGCAAGGCCAGTAGTTCAAAACCACCAGTAGCTTCACAGGAGAAAGGTAAGACTTCCTGTTCCCACCAAGATTTACAGCCTCAAAAACCCATACGGTCACTAGGAGTCAGAATCGACTTATTGATAGTGGGTTAGTTTGGGGGTTTTATACACGATGATCCTAAAATATTATTCCAGAAGTTGCCATATTTGTGCAACCAAGAGAACTTAACCGGAAGTTGATAAAGATTGGAAGGAAAGGTGAGAATGGTATATAAAAGCATATTGCAAGCACTTTCAATGTTCCCATTTCTAAAAGTGAAATTGACCATCTTGTTAGGTTTGGCTTTCTCCACTGTTGTTGTTGAAACAGGTTAAGCCAGTGTAAACAATCTTCTCAAAGGACTTAATTCTGAGTGTTGCCTTCTCGGATGCTTGCAGTTAGCTCTAAACTTGCAAAGATAAGAACTATAGGAAAATGTTCCTGCCCTCATCTTTCAAGTTCATGTTTTAAAAAAATATCATGAGAGAAGAATAATGCAAGGTAAAAGTAGCAATCAACCTTTCTTAAGACTAAAGTATGACAATATCTCAGAAAGGAATGTTGGTCTCAAACAACCAAACAGTTGTCCACTGGGTGCCACTGTCCCCCCTACCAGGCTGTGTCACTGTGGGAGTGCAGAAGAAGTTGCTTCCAGTATTAGACCCTGTGTGTTTGTACCCACTCTACAAGGTATAACGCCTTTCAAATGCCATCAATTTAGTATTGGTCACAAGGACATTGGGAAGACTAGCTGGCTTCGACAAGTAAACCATATCATGTGTGTCTGCCACGGGCTGAGCACTGACCAGGTGGGCCTAAGTGGGGTGGTGGGGGAAGCAGAGCCAGTTTTAGGTGAACCTTCAGCTTCCGCCAACTTTGCAGGGGGGGAAATGTGCTATTGAGTGGATTCTGACTCATGGTGAACCCACACGTGTCCAAGGAGAACCTGGCTTCAGAAGTCAGTCATCAGCTCTTTTGTCTGAGGCACCTGTCGGTAGACAGATTGCAACTTACACTCCCATCTTTTGGCTCACAAAGTTATCCATTTACACGACTCCTTGTCTCCTTCCACCACTAGTCTGTCAGTTTGTCATTACTGTGGTGGCCTGCATGTTGCTGTATGACGCTGGTGTTTCAAATGCCAACTGTGTCACACAAAGTGAACAGATTCCAGTGGAGTTTCTAGACTAAGAACACACAACCAAGAAGCACTTGGCTCCCCACTTCGTAGGAAGCGGTCCTGAAAATCGTATGTGCAGCTTTGAAACATTGTCAGATACTGCAAGCCTAATGAACGGAGGCAGAACTTTGTCAGGGAGAGAGTTGAAGGATGGACTTGAAATGTTACTGAGGAGGAGAAATTTCCTCGAAGTGGAGTTGGCCATGGTGAGGTGAGTCTGATAAAGCCTGTGGGAGTGGAGTCTTCAGGATCTTCATTTGCTTATGGGGCACCACTCAAGGAAAGGAGAAACCATTACCAAACTCTGTTACTGATCAGAATTTGAAATGTGCAAAGTATGCATCTAGGAAAATTGGAAATGGTCACCCATGAAGATTGATGGTATAGGCATCAGTGAGCTAAAATGGACTGGTATTAGCCATTTTGAATCAGAAAATCATACAATTTACCATGCT